ACCCATCTGATCAGTGAACCACAAAGTGATCAGGAAAAATAGGCCCTTCTGTGGGCATACAGGAGTTAAGACGCATGATTCTCTACCACTCCATTCACTAGCAGCACAAAACTCCACTGATCAGTATCACTGCCTGGATTTTAAGGTGGGTTTAGAGGGCATTTGAAGACATGGCAATGGTGCCACAATGATAAATATGAACCCCAAACGGTTATGAGGTTACAAGCTTGGCTTATGACATAATAACTGCCTATAACAGAATGCCAACCCCGGTCTTCAAATAGGGTGTGTGTGGTCATTTTCAGGGAATCAAAGATTGGGGCACTTAAAGTTTGCATTTATTTGAATAGACATTAAGGTACAAGAAGGGTCCTTTAATATACCCATGTTTTACATTATCATGACAGTGGAGAGTTTTGAGACCAGATTTAACTGCCTTCAATCCTAGTGTGGGGGGAAATGTTGGGATACAAATAATCTGTGGTTTATATTTCCTTCTATTTGGCAGTATAATTCCAACCATAACTTTTTGTTTTACAGCAAAGGCTTGTCTTATGGAATTTCCCTCTTTTTTAAAATGTCAGAAGAAACAGAAGTAAACGATAGGAGTGGGAGTCTGTCTTCAGTTACTGAAGAATTACAGTCAGCTATCCACATTTGTGGGTTTAACTTTTATGGATTTGGTTATTCATGGATTATTTGCTGCTGCCCTATATAATTTTTATTAGGGCCTACAAAGAGTCTGCATATGAGGCAAGGCTTGTAAGTCCCTATTTAAAATGGTGTAGGGCAGTAGTGGAGACAGCAGCAAGCCTCACCAGGCATCCACTTCTGCCTTGTAAAGGAGCACTACTGCCTTAACAGCATCCACACTGGGGGGTTAATCCTTGGATTATACTTTTTTGGTGTGTTAAATATGATTGGGGGGGGTTTCGAATTATTTGCAGTTTTACCACTTTCACAAGAGTCATGTCCTTCTAACCCTGGTGAATGTGGAGGGTAGACTACAGTTATTATTTTAGCTGTGCTTTGCTTTAATCTGTGTTGTAAAGTGCTTTGAATCCAGTGCTGGGAGAAAGGATAATAACAGTAAAAAAGCAATAAAAGGCAAGAGAAAAACAACATGGTAGAATATCTATGTCAGAATTTTGGAGGTGATAAGTCAAAAGCAACATATTTGTTTGTAACTACAGATGTACTTTAGGGCATTATTTCTTTAACAGAAAATTTGGTACCAGAGGCAGAAATAATATGGAAAGAATAGGGATAAATGCCTTCTTGTTGGTTTGCCCCTCCAAAACATTTCTGGCTTTCCTAATCAAACCATGGTCTTCAGAGTCATAGTCCAATGCTCAAACCACTGTGTGTTCGTGTCTGGTGTGCCTTCAAGTCATTTTTAATTTATGGTGACCCAAAGGGATTCTTGGTAAGATTCGTTCAATGGAGGTTTACCCTTGCCTTCCCCTGAGGCTGAGAGCATGTGACTTACCCAAGCTTACCCAGTGGGTTTCATGGGCAAGCTGGGAATTTAAGCCTGGTCTCCAGAGTTGTAGTCCAGCACTCAAACCACTATGCTACGCTGGTTCCACTCAAACCACTACACCACAAAAAAAAAGGGCAAGCCAACATATTTCAGCAGATATTTATTATTATTATTATCACAACTAATAATATGCACATATTAAGTGAAACAAACAGGCTAGGTAAGACAAATAAACACAAACATTGGAGTTTATCACACGGGGAGCCCTGTGCAAAATCGCTCTTTAAAGTGGAAAAAAGCCGCAAAAGCGGAAGCTTTTAATGAACGGGATTTCTCCCGTTCTGCCCTGTGTGAAAAGTAAAAGCACTGTTAACGGGGAGGCTAATCCAAACGAAAACCCTCATTTTTACTTTCGGGTTTTTCTGAAAGTAAAAAGAAGTG